CCTTGTATCCCCAACACCTGGCTCATATTTATCATTGATAAATGATAAATAAATAAAATATCATTCATAAATATTTTTTGAATAAATAATGGAAGGACACCAGCTTGTACTGTTGCTGCAAGTGTAGCTTTTCTCTGCAATGCCCTAACGACGTGCTGTTGGAGCTTAGGTATTCGGATTTTCTGATTTTTTCCCACCTGCATATGCTTTTTCCTCCAACTCTCAGAAGTCAGCAATAAATTCTTAAAGAAGGAGGACTTCAAACTATACTAGTTGTTTTTCTAGAATCTTCCCTGCCATGGAGAAATCTGAAAGTGTGGGCCAGCAGTCCTGCCTCGAAAACAAGCAGCTGATGGCTCTGAGTCACCAATTGCCTCTGGGGACTGCCTACTCCCCCGACATCAGGTGCCCAAGGGCGCTTGGTAAATGTCAGATGTTGCTGCCTGTGGTGGGTGGTGTTGGGGTCGACTCTCGGGCAGGAGGAACAATCTAGCAGCACTCTAAAAGAAGGAAAGCTTGCTGCTCTCCTGCGAGTGATGTCTGAAACAGGAAGAGGGGTTGCCAAAATGTGGTCTCAGCTGCCGGGAAGCCGAAGCTAGAGGGTTTGGTAGCATTGTTATCAAAGGTCCAATTTACCAAAAAACAGGGAAATCATGAAGTATTCAACTTCCGGGAAGATGAGCACTATGAAAACACAGATACAATAGTCCTTAGAAAACTAATAAATAGAATACTCACACCAGTTAAAAAGAAAGAGGTACTGCTGGGGTGGGCCTGGTGGTGTAGTACTTAACTTTGCACACTCCGCTTCGGTGGCCTGGGGCTCGCAGGTTCTAATCCCAGGCGAGGACCAATGCACTGCTCATCAAGCCATGCTGTGGCAGTGTCCCACATACAAAATAAAATGGAGGAAGATGGGCACAGATGTTAGCTCAGGGCCAATCTTCCTCAGCAAAAAAGGGGAGGATTGGCAAGAGATGTTAGCTCAGGGCCAGTATTCTTCCTTACCAAAAAAAGAAAAACAAAAAAACCAAGAAAAACAATGAGGTATTATTATGTGTCCTAATAAGGACAGACTGCCAAGACATACTATTAAGTGGAAAAAGCTTGCAGATAGATGAATGTGTACCTTTTATATTAAAACAAAACTCACTACCAAAAATAACAACACACACAATGGTGCTATATATAGATCACAGGGGCACATATGTGTATGTGTGTCTGGAAAAAGGTTTGTACCAGACTTGATAACAGTGGTTACCCTGGGGAGGGTGGAAAAGGGACAAAATTGTGGACATGGTCAGAAGGAACTTTATCTGTAATATTTCAGTTTTTTAGAAGAATGTTTCATTTATAAGTTTTAAAACAAAGTTAATATTAAAAGAAAAATATTAATAATTGTTAAAGCAGGCAAACCCTACACATGATCCTTAGTGGCAGGCATTAACCTCCTGATCATGTTTGTTAAATCGACACAGTTCTATGGTTTTCTGGAAATATCCTGTCTGAAACAGACCAGATAAAAGATGCCCACACATTGCAGAGGTACAAATGTGAAAAGAAATATTGTCATATGGGAGCCAAGTAGTACTGGAACTGACATTTGCCCAAGGGGCCTATATTATTTGGATTTAATAAACAGTGTTGAATTCTGATATTTCTATCATGCTTTATAGTCTTCAAACTATCTCATTTGAGTCTTACAACTGTGTCTAGTAAGTAGAGCCAGACTCATCATCTCCATTTCTCAGATTAGAAAATTGAAGTTCATGGCCATCCCGGGTGGCCTAGAGGTTAAGTTTGGTGTGCTAGTGTTCGACAGCCTGGGTTCGGTTCCCAGGCATGGACCTACACCACTCATCTGTCAGTGGCCATGCTATGGTGGCAGCTCACATACAAAAAGAGGAGGATTGGCAACAGATATTAGCTCAGGGCGAATCTTTCCCAGCAAAAAAAAGAAAGAAAGAAAGAAAGAAAGAAAGAAAATGGAGGTTCAGAAAAATTAAGTGATTTATCTAAGATGGAAGTGAGTAAAGGGGCAGACAGAACACCTATATATTCCAGGAGCTGAATGCTTTCTCTGATTTTGTCATTCTTAACCAATCTTAACTCTAATAGTTAACATTAGCTGTCACATCCTAAATTTCATCTTCTCACTGGCAGAGTTTACATTTTGGCAGCGCTCTCTACCCACTTTCTCCCTGAACCTAGGTGGATTGCTCAAACGCAAAATCCAATTTCAGAACATAGTGCATTCTACCAAGGGGATTTTCCAGGCAGTAGGAAGTTTGCTGTCAAGAAACAACACTCAGCCTCCACCCTGGCACAGTTGCAAGTGATAAATGACATGGTGCCTGGCTTAATCCCACAGCCCTGTGCTGCTTGGTGACAGCTGGAACGCCATCATGACCAGTTAACTTTTTATAACGCGTCCATATCCCGTCTCCCCAGCTAAGTCAGAGTCCTCAGGGACCTTCTCTTACTCTTCCTTAGTCCTCAGCAGCCAGTCTTTCAATGCCCTTGATAAGTTCCTTCAGCCTCGTAATGTAGCCGGAACGAGACAAACTTACGTGTAGTAGCACACTTTTAAAATTAATACACCGCCCATGAGAATTGACACTTCTGAAAATAAACTCTCGCTCCTCCTCCTCACCCCTCCAAACCTGCTCCACCCACACTCTTCTGTCTCAATCAGTGGCAACTCAACCTTCACACCTTGTACACCCAACACCTTGGAGTCACTCCTTTCTTTCTTTTACACCCTACTTCCAATCCTTTAGCAAATCTTGTTGGCTCTACCTTCAAATTCCACCCAGAGTCCAACCATTTCTTACCACCTCTGCTGCTACCTCCCTGGTCCAGACCATTGTCATCTGTCGCATGGACCGTCAGGATGGCCTCCACTTGCATCTCCCTAAAACAGCCCTTGGCACCCAGTTTCTTCTCAAGACAGCGGCCAGTGGATCCTATCGCCATTTAGGTAGACCACATCACTCCCTCTCCTCGAAAACCTCCAAAGTTTGCTCGGCTCACATGGAGCAAAATCCATAGTCCTCGCAAAGTCCTACAAGGTTCTGTATTTAGTCATCTCCTATTAATTTTCCTCCTGGACCACAGTTCTCTAGGGCCCCTGGAGTCCGTACTCTTTCTCAGGCACCCTATAGTTCATTCTCTCTCCTCTGGGGTTTGCATACAGTCTTCACTCTCCCTGAAATGCTCTTCCCTTGATAATCATGGCTAGCTTGCCATCTCCTTCAAGTCTTTGCTTAAACGTTAGCATATCAGGGAGCTTCCCTGACCATCCATTTAAAACTGCAGAGATAACCCCTCCCTGCAACACACATACACACATACACAGACACACACAGAGATAGACACACACACAGACACACACTACACACACACACACACACCTGGAACTTCTTATCCCTTTCCCTGCCTTATTTTTCCCTGTAGTACACATCACCTTCTAACACACTAAATAATATACTTGTTTCATTTGTCTACCTCCCCTACTGGAATGTTCACTTCATAGGGGTTTTTGTTTCTTTGTTCACAGCTGTACCCCCAGAGCTTAGCACATGTCTGGCCTGTAACAGATGCTTAATAAATATTTGTTGAATAAATCAGATTGGCAAAGTTGAAAAATCAGATGGTACCTTGTATTGGTGGGGTATAGGGAAATAGATGCTTTCATATGTGGCTGGTCAGAGCGTAAACTGGAATTACCTCTTTGGAGGGCAATTTCTCAAGATCCATGAAAATTAAAAAAGGCATCTTGCCTATGACCCAGTAATTCAACGGCCAAACATTTATTCAATAGATGTACATGTCCAAACACATAGCTCCAGGATGTTTATGCAGCATTATTTTATAATTTTATTTATTTATTTATTTTTCCCCCAAAGCCCCAGTAGATAGTTGTATGTCATAGTTGCACATCCTTCTAGTTGCTGTATGTGGGACGCGGCCTCAGCATGGCCGGACAAGCGGTGCGTTGGTGTGCCTCTGGGATCGGAACCTGGCCCCCCAGCAGCGGAGCGCGTGCACTTAACCGCTAAGCCACAGGCCGGCCCTATGCAGCATTATTTTAATACAAAAGGCCGGAAGCAACTTACATGGCCACCCGTCCGGGTCTGGTTAAATAACACGTGGGCATCCATCTAACACATAATATGCGACTGTTAATATGAGAGAGGAAGATACTGATATGGAACAGTCTCCAAGACACACTGACTGAAACAAAGCCAGGGGCACAAATGTGTGGAATCTGCCACTGTTTGGATAAAAAAAGGATATGTGTACATATACTTACAAGTTTGTACAAGCATAAATAAATACACAGATACATAAATAGCCCTGGAGAATCACAAGAAACTAATGAGAGAGGTTGTCTTTTTTGAGGGGGTTATTCAAGGACTGGGAAACTTGAAAACAATTTTAAAAAAAATCGTTGTGAATATAGTACTTTAAAAAACCCATCTCTACAAGGGCATCAATCCACACTCTTTTGCTAACTTTTACTCTGTGCATGGCTGACGATAAAAATATGCTCTAAATTCTGCTTTGAAGGGATGGGGGTGGGAAGGAGGACTTTTTATTTCCTCCAGGAGCGAAGCCAATCAAATGTACGAATAGATCCAGCCCAACCTCGTGCTCTGGGACTCCCCCAGCCCGCGGCGCCCGGCGGTGCGCTGGGATTTGCCGTCTGGCTGGAGTCCCTGCTTCCTCCTTAGAGGGCAGCAGCGGAGCGTCTCGGGGACGCATGCGCCCCCATTTGCGCCCGGGGAATTAAAGGAAAGAGAGAGGAAAAAAAAAAGCTCCAACAAAACACGCGCCCCAAACAAAACCCAAGCGGAGGAAAGCGCGCGGCTCTGCAGACCCCGGGCCGGGGAGGCGCCTCCGGCCTCGCCCGCGTCCCCGGCCGCGGCGTGATGCGCACGGACCGCCCGCGACGGCCGCACTGTCCCCGCACCTGGCCGCGCCCCCGCCGCGCTGTCTCGGAGTCTCCATGGGGCTGAGGGGCTGGCTGAGGACCGTGTGCTGCTGCTGCTGCCCGGGGCAGCCCGCCGTGCCCGAGAAGGAGCCCCTGGTCAGGTGGGTGCGCGCCTGGCCGCGATCTGGGGTCCCCGGGCGCAGCCGCGTGTCGCGGAGTGGGACACCTGTGTGCCTGTCTGAGCCGGGGAGGTGGGCTGCCTTAAGGTCACCCTGAGGCGCAAACTGAGCCTCTCAGCCCCTTGCAGGATATCCTGCTCCTTGGGTTTGTGCTTCGGGTAAAATTTTTGCCCGACAGCGCAAAACCCCAGAGGGACCTGAGACTCAGGTGGATGCCTGTGAAAAGTGCCCAGAATTCGGGCGCCGTGCCGGGCAGGGAGGTACGCAGAGAAGTTCGCCTGCCAGTCCGATTAAATACTACTGTGCCTGACTGTGTATTTGATGGGTATATTTCAGGGAACTAGGCAACGTGAGTTTCTCTTTCGCTCACGAAAGCGAAAAAGCCGGCTACTTTGTCATTCAATTTTGTTATTAAAAGAAGACGGTTTTAGTGACTGAGCACAAGGAAATATTTTTCACATTAAAAAATGCATGTTTTATCAAGGGGCAGCCTAATTCAGTAGGATGTTGATTCAGTATAGGTGAGTGTGAGGAAATTTAATGCCCATGAGCAGTGTGCTAAGTGGCTTTGTGAAGGGACCATACAACACCGTTTTGTTCAGAGCTCTGATTTTAAGCAATTGTATTATATCTTAATTCTGCTGAAATGAGGGTTCCACTAGCTCATGCCTTAGGGATAGATATGACAGAAACAGAATATTCCAAATGAAATTAGGAAACAGTATAGAAGGTGGAATTCCAGGGTTGGGCAAGCAAATGCCGAAGCCAGTGTTTCTTCCTTATGAAGTAAGCAACTAAAATGATAAAGCTTTCACGACTTGTTTTAAAACATCGTTTACCTTTTCTTACTTTGTCAACTCCAAACACTCCCCTTGATTTTTGAGATCTTACGTAACCCCTTCCTGCCTGTCCACTCTTATTTCCAGCACATTAAACACTGCACACTCCTTGATTTAATCAGACAGGCATCCTTGCAGCACTAGGAACAATCCAACCTTCTTCCCTCCAAGCTTGCCTCAAGCAGTGACCTTTAGCCTTCCTGCCCCTTCCTAAATGCTAGTTCCCAAGGCCCCCTCCAGCAGTCTTCTTTAATTACTAATTATCTTTAATTACTTATTTTTCATCTCTCTCTCCTGTGACTTAGGACTTAGAACTCACCGTCTGCCCTTCACTGCTTTGTGAACACACGTCTGTAAATATATATGTCATGTTGTTTTATATATATAAACAGTCATACACACAATACGCAATGGTTTTGCCTGCTCTTGTGATGGTGCTCCCATTTAGATGATCAAATTACGGCGGGCAAGGAGAAACCCAGTAATCTACCCCAGTCTTAAAAGCAGCGGATAACAATTGAGAATTTCATATTTGGGTTGTACACCCCACTTGTCAGCGTTCACAGTAACATGAAATACAGCCCTCAGCGTGGTCTCATCCTCAGAGCCTGGGGTCTTTCCAATTTTCTGTCTGGGACTGCTGTTTGAGTTAATAGGTTTGATTGTTTTAAAATCTCAACCCTCTCCTGCCTTGGTTTACACTGTAAGTCAGTGCCTTTTGCAAGTGATTTTAAGAAGAGTCAATTGGGGCAGAATAGCATAGTGCTCCTGAGTCGGATTGCCTGAGTTTAAATCCCAACTGGGTGACCTGGCACAAGTTACGAAACTTACTTGTGCCTTGATTTCCTCATCTGTAAAATGGGGACGATCATAGTATGTACCTCAAAGTGTTGCTGTGAGAAATGAAATGAGCTAGTCCACGTAAAGTGCTTAGTATAGAGTCCAACACGTAGTACATACTCAATAAATTTTAGTTCTTATTAATTATCGTTGTTATTCTTCTAAGCATGTGAATATGAACGGACTGGTCTTTTGCGGTTTAGTGTCATTCTGGCATCATTTCATTATAACGTATTTGGCAAGAGCAACTTATTTTTTTTTTTGAAGATTGGCTCTGCACTAACATCTGTTGCCAATCTTCCTCTTTTTTCGTTTTTCTCGCCAAAGCCCCAGCACATAGTTGTGTATCATAGTTGTCGAGTTGTAGCTCTTCTATATGGAACAGTGCCTCAGCATGGCTGGATGAACGGTGAGTAGGTCTGCGCCTAGGATCTAAACCCGGAACCCCGGGCCGCCGAAGCCGAATGTTCGAATCTAACCGCCAGGCCACCAGGCCGCCCCGGCAGCGGCAGCTTCTTAATGGATGTGTGGATCAGCGGTTGTATGAGTGGGTACCTGCATGTTCTTTCCTCCTTTGTCTACTTTGACATCTTTTTGTTTGTTTGTTTTGTTAAGTGTGAAGTTCAGTGGTTTTTAGGATATTTACAAAGCGTGCAGTCATCACCACTATCTAATTCAGGACATTTTTGCCCATCTACCTCATTCATTTATTCGCTCCAAAAAGAAACACCATACCCATTGGCAGTCACTTTCCCACCCTCCCCTCCCCGCCCCTCAACTCCCCAGGCAACCACTAATGTACTTTCTGTGCCTGTTCTGGACATTTTATATAAATGGAATCATACAATACATGGCCTTTTGCATCTGGTTTCTTTCACTTAGCATAATGTTTTCAAGTTTCAGCATATTGTAGTGTATATCAGCACTTCATCCCTTTTTGCAGTTGAATAATATTACGTTGTATGGATATATTACATTTTATTTATTCGTTCATCAATTGATGGGCATTTGGGTGGTTTTTACTTTTTGGCTCTTATAAATAATGCTGCTTTGAGCATTTGTGTACAAGTTTTTGGGTGGGCGTATGTTTTCGATTCTCTTGGGTATATACCTAAAAGTGGCATTGCTGGATTATACAGTAATTCTGCATTCAACTTTTTTTTTTTTAATTTTTTTTTTTTTTAACTTTACTTATTTATTTTTTTCCCCCAAAGCCCCAGTAGATAGTTGTATGTCATAGCTGCACATCCTTCCAGTTGCTGTATGTGGGACGCGGCCTCAGCGTGGCCGGAGAAGCGGTGCGTCGGTGCTCGCCCGGGGATCCGAACCCGGGCCGCCAGCAGCGGAGCGCGCGCACTTAACCGCTAAGCCACGGGGCGGCCCTGCAATCAGCTTTTTGAGGAACTGCCAGACTGTTTTCCAGAGTGGCTGGTGTGAAATCTTGATGTGGTGCAATTGTGTGGCCAGGTGGTCTTAATTTTTATTTTATCTCGTCGTCTTATTTTTTTTCATTTATAAAACATGGTTTTGTACAGACATCTGCCTCTCCTCCCCCCAGCTAAATCCTTTGCTCTATCATAAAACAATGGTTTTCAGGTTTTATTTCATGCCTGCAAGAGGTGTGGTCGGGGGGACGACGTCTGTCGTTTGTGTGCACGGTCACCTCCGGTCCTTTTCCAAAACGCACCAGGATTCTTGTTAGTTCAGGAAAAACAAGTCTTGGTCTCATCTGGTTTGCCATCCGACAATGCCGCTCATGTGTTTGACCTTGCTCCTTTTACCTTTCCTGGAACCTTGTACCTGGAGGGGAATGCCTGTCCCTTGTCTGGTTTGCATCTGTATTTCTCTCCGTCTCGCTAGTTCTTTCTTTCTCCTTTCTCTAGAAATCTGCGGAGGCCTCCCCTGACTGAAAGTTCACCCTGATATTGCCGTGCCCTTTAGCTACATCCTTTGCTTCCTTTGTGTCAGGTGCAAAAGTCTTTAAAGAGTAGTCACCTATAGCCCCACCTCCCTCTTTACCACTCACTCACCCTGAAATCTGGGTTCTGCCTCCTGTGTGATAGCATGAAGATTGCTTTCTTGAAAGTTACAAGAGAAAGCAATCTGATGTTCTTTTCTCAGGGTGCGTGGAATACCTCTGGGCCGCCCATCCATGCCTTCTTTCACATGCCCTCTCTCCCTGGCTTCTCTGATTCTGCATTCTCTATCTCTGATTCTGCCTGTGATCAGTCTATGGTGCTGCTTTCCCTCCTGGGGTCTTTGCCATAATTGTTCGCTAGACATCTTTTTGTTTTCTCCACATCTTAAGATTCTGCTCAGTTTTTAAGGCCCATTGCAGTTGACACCTTTGTGAGGAAGCCTTAGAAATCTCCCCAAGCAGTTATGGAGTCTGTTTTCTTTCTTTTTTCCACTCTGGTCCCTTACTGCCTTCTGCCTGGTATTACAGTGATAAGGTGGGTGCTGTACCCCTGCCCGATTGGAGGTTCTAATTTAGGTGGGAGGCACCAAATCTCATTTGCCTTAATATCCCCATTGTGCCCAGCACAGTGCTTGTCATGGAGTAAGAAGTGAATAAATACTTTTTGATTAATAAAAATTGTATTAATAGCTATTCATTTATTAAGTTCTATGTGAAATTTTTAAAAATGTCTTTAAAACAAGATGTTGTGAGAAATAATAGGGCAAACACCCATCACCGCAGCACCCACCTTAAGAAAATATTAACAATAGAGAAAACATTAATAATAACATTAATAATTAACCTCATGTGTCCTCCATGACTGTATCCACCTCCCATCTCCAAAGGTGACTTCTCAATTCAATCCGGTTAACATTATAACTTTATATGAACGGTGCAAACTGCACGTAGGCTACTGCATGAGATTTCTTTATATACATGCTGTTATATAATTGTCACTGTGACCAAATGAAATGGGTGTTATCCCACTTACTAGATGAGGACATTAGGAATTAGAGAGTTGAAGTGCTTAATTCCACGTCACAGTTGATAAATCACAGAGCCAGAAATTGAATCTATGTCTGTCTGACTTCAAATTCCATGCCTTGGGGCCGGCCCGGTGGCTAGCGGTTAAGTTCTCGCGCTCCACTTCCGTGGCCCCGAGGTTCGCAGGTTCGGATCCCGGGCGCAGAGCTACACACCGCTTGTCAGGCCGTGCTGTGGCGGCGTCCCAGATAAAGTGGAGGAAGATGGGCACAGATGTTAGCCCAGGGCCAATCTTCCTCAGCAAACAGAGGAGGATTGGCATTGGATGTTAGCTCAGGGCTGATCTTCCTCACACACAC